TTTTTTTTAAAACAATTTATAAATATAGTAAAAGTTATTTAACGCAAAAATTAATTAATTTATATAAGTAATATACGTTAATATGATTTTTTATTAGTTAGAAGTGGCATTCTATATTTATTTTTCACGTAAGTAAACCTCATACAGGTGCCATTTATAGCTCTGAGGTATTCATACGATATTCAATCTTCTACCACATATTGCCCAACCATTGTAAATGATCGCATCTTTTATGTCTCGATGGTGATGGAATCATTTTTTTTCCTTTGTTTTCTATAGATTTTACCGCTATAGCTGTAGAATAAGGAGCATAAAATGGCAAGAATTATAATAGATTATGCGTGATTAGTCTAGGATTCACTAACATTCCCTAAGGAACGTGAGAACAGAATTCTCTAGAGGAAAGAGTAACTGCTTCTCTAAAAGATAAGGCATAGAATGATTAGGTATCAGAATTTTTCTCATTTAAATTCTTCTGAATGATGAGAATTTAGGCACGTAACAATTCATTAGCCAAATAAGTTTTTTGAATGTAGATTAAGCTGATGAAAACCACATATTTGTAAGATTATATGTTCCTGATTAACAGAAGATTTCGCCACTATTTCCTTTGGAACGTGAAAATAGAATGCTCCAGAGAAATGAAGAGTAGTTCCTGTGGAAGATTACTCTATAGGACGATTTTCAGACAGAATTTTTGTTCATTTACATTCTTTTGGATGATAAGACACTAAGTGTTATCGCATGTTACAACTCATTAACCACAGAAATCTTTCTGAATTAAACAATAAGTTGATGAAACCACACGTTTATAATTTTGTTTGCGTGTTATTTCATATTAACTTCAACTTCCAAAATATCATACATATTTAGTTTCTTAATTAAGATGTATCTTTAATTAAATAAACATCGATTAACGAAATAAAGTCAATTAGCAATATTAAGTAAAAGTTTATAATTTAAATATAAATTTAGAAAAATAAAAAAAGAAAATTAAATTTATTGATTATAATCTTTTCAGTAAATACAATAAAATTTAAAATGTAAACAATAAGCAATATTGACAAAATAAATAAATATAATCCTCAATTGTAATCTTATAATACATGAATAAATTTTGTAATTTTCTCAGAGAGTTAGAAAAGTAAATATCTAAATTAATTAAATATCACAAATTATCGAATAGTTGAAAACTAAAGTAATTGCTAATTAACGTTTATTTCTTTATAATTAATTTTTTTTAATGTATGTTTTTAGAGAGTAAGAGAGAATTGTACATTAGAAAGAACAACACATATAAAAGATTGTTTTACATGACATGATTATTTCTTATCGAAAGTAAGAGGTTGTTGGAGAATATTGCAGAAGAAGAACATATTGATTAGCTGAATTAAGACCTTGTCCACGATGTGGAAGTGTAGGAAATGTCCAGATAAAAATCAATGAATGGAAGAAGGCAAAACAGGATTGCTTCTTTTCTAACTCCCTAGTGCCCTATAGGGAATCCGCTAATGGTTGATCGGGTTATTGGAACCATCTTTTATGACTACCATTTTTTATTGTTCATCCTAGAGAAAATAAATACTAGTTCAACAGTGCAAACATCCAGTTTTTGGATTACTTATCCGAAAGATTGCTCAACATTCTGTATCTTCTCCAAATGATTTAGTGTTACTTCATAAATGTGTCATAACATTAATTTTTTTTGCCATCACTGTTTCTTTTATTATTAATTTACAGTTCATTTCTAGCTATAAATATAAGACAGAAATAGAAATACATATTTTCCTTTATATTATCGATTCAGAACAATGAAGTTGGTCGACTTTCAAAGATTTTTATTCTGTGCACTGGAACGTATAGTAATATTTCTTTCTGAACGAATTAGTAATGTAAAATTAATATAATTTTAATAAATTTTGCAATTTTTATAAGAACGTATGCTTAGTTTTCTTTTTCAAGATATAACAAACATCAAAAGATAAACTGAAGAAAAGATCAATTCTTTTCGGATTAAATGACTTCCATTTATTAATTAGTGACAGCAAACAAGCTCGGTGACACTTCAGAAGGCGATTCATCCCGGATCATCGAAGCACTAGAAAAGTACTAGTGCATAGGTCGTCGTCCACTTGCCTGGCGAACAATGCCCAACGGTGCATGTAAAGAAAGAAGTAAAGTTCTTCAGAGACAGAAGTAAACGAGTGGTTGCCCGGGGTAACAGGGTGACTAGAGAAGTCCCTAGAGCAATCCTGTGGACATCCTTAATCTTTTAGGTTACAGAAGTGAAAAAGCTCACTTGAGCCAGACAAACGAGCCATGGATCATGTGTACGAAGGTTCTTCCGCTAAGTAAACCCTTTTATGTATAACCCTCTCAGTATTTCTAGTTTTGAAGAGAAAAGTTGCTATTTCTCGTTCAATTTTCTTAGTTTTTCCATGATACAATTGTATACAGTCCAACACGTAAGTGAGCAAAACACCAAAAATAAAATATATATATATTTTTCCCTAAACTTCAAAAAGTTTTAATAAATTTTATATACATATATATCCAAAAGAATTTCATGAAAATAAGTTCAAGAATTAAAAAGAAATAGGATGCTATTTATAGAAGAAAATCGATCAAATTTGATTTTTTATATAATCTAAATTTGCTTTTCTTTACAAAAAAAAAGAAAAAATATTTAAAAAAAATAGATAAATAAATTTAGTGCTTTAAGCATTAAACATATATATATTATTTTTTAAATTACAAAAATATAAACATACATTAAATAACTTTTAAAAAATAAAAAAATATTTTTCAAATTTAAAAAATAAATTATTTATTTATATTTTTACAATAACAACAACAACAACAACAACAACAATAATAATAATACTAAAATATTTATTGATAAATATATTTAAGCGATTTTATTTTATACTTTATATTCTTATTATTTTTTTTATTTAATTTTCCACAAGAATGTAAATAATTACAGCATATAAACAAGAATTAATTAATGTTATTACAGCTTAAAATATTTATTAATAAAAATGATTTTTATTATTTAATAAAAATTCTGACTAATAAACTACAGAAAAAAATATATATATATATTTTTTTATATTTTTAAATGATCATTATCATCACAATAACAGTATTTTTATACGTTTTTTTTTTTTACTCGTGTAATATGTGTCATCCTGATAGATAATATCGTAATTTCATGACCTTACCTATAATGATCAGTTTAATATGATCCATGATATCGTAATGAAATTATATTTTAAGACATTCTCGTTTATCAAGAAGACATAAAAAGACATAAAACTATAAAAGATCATAAAATATTTGATGGGCCGTAAGAGAAATTAGTAAAGATGTTAAAAATCATATAAATACATATCTTAAATAATTAAAAAAAACTATATATATATATATATTATTTTTTAAACCTTATTAATACATTAACTTATATATTTATTAAAAATAATTAAATTTTTTTAAAAGATATTAAAATTTTAAGAAAATTTATTAAAAGTTTTCTTAAATATATAACTGAAAATGTTGTTATAAAAGTTTTGTGTGTTAAACTATAACATAATTCTTTTAAGAAATATAACGTTAATTAAAAAGGTATAGTAAAGCATAAAAATTAATTTTATTTATAATGTTTTCAATAGTCTTGTACATCTTTTATAGTAATTATAACCGGTTTAAACTCTAATAATACTTAAAATACTTTCGCTTTAAAATGTGATTATATTTTACAGCAACTTGAAGTAAAAATTTATGTGAACAGCATACACTTACCTACAACATTTAATGTGATGAATATGCTCATTTTCGGTACTGTACTGACTTGACACTCATAAATTCCAGCATCCTGCTTCTGAGGATATTTAATTTGGAGTGTCCAATCATCTGAATTTTCTAAATGTATAGTTTGAAATCTCTGATCGCTCGTATATGTGAACCTTCCTACTGTTAAAACATGTAAATCTCTTCTTCTGATCCACGATACCTGAATTTAAAAAAAAAAGAAAGAAAAATAGTAATGTATATAATATAATAATAAATAATACATTAAGTAAAAATAATGTTTTCCCTATGAATGATTGAAACAAAAATAAATTCCGGACATTGCTTTTACTGTTTTATCAAAAGTTTAGAGGACGAGAATTGATTGATGAGACCTGTGTCTTTCTACGTTCACTGCAATCTCCATATCTTTTGTTGCAGTCAAGTATACCATCTGCACAATGTATAGGATAAAAATAAAACATGGTTCGTTCTTTTACGTCTAACATAATCCTGTGGATAGAGACAAGGTCTCGACCGTTTGTTCTGTGTTCGTTTTAGTGCAGAACAACTATTTGTAACAGCAACTGGACTGCACTTCTCACTAATCTCGTTAATACAGGACAGGAGAAAATAAGATTTTGGACTTCCGAAACGTAATCACAGAATGAAAAATATTTTCTACATCTAAAGATTTTCCTCTATTTGAAGAGCTTTTATCGTTTCTGAATGGCAGAGAGAAACAATACAGAAGAAACTGGAAGAGGAGAGAGGGAGGGGGGAAAGACAACTATATCATTTATTTCGTACAGTAGCGTAGTGATACTGATACTAAACAAAAACAAATGATTTCTTTAGAATTATAAAACTTAAATTACAAGCTAAAAATTTATAAATTAAAATATTTTTAAAGCGATTAAATTTCATTTTTCTTGTCCAACATAATTAAATCAATTCTCGTTCCAAACAATAGCATTGTCTTACACAATAAAAACTAATAGAAGATATTATTTATCCAATTGTAAAAAATAAAATTTAAATTATTTATCTCGAAATATATATATATATTTGATAAGATTTAAATGTCATTATAGAGATTAAATTTCACGATAATCCAATCAATTGCATAGGTTTTTAATTAAGGAGACCCTTTTTCCATTATTTTTTTAAAAATAAATATAAATGAGTCTGATGAGATTTGAGATAAGATTACGAATGAAAAAGTGTTACAAAATTTATTTAAAATGATAATAATGAAATGTAGTCGAAATGTGATATTTTAATTAGCATTTAAATTGGGATAAACTTGCAACTGCTAATTTACGTAAATAGAGATGATTAGTGATATAGTATAATTAAGTTTTCTAAGTAAATAGAGAGTTGCACTTGTGTTCAATTCTAGAACGATATCAAACTAAAATGTTCAATTGTACAAATAGAATGAGATCATGAGATTAAATAACATTTCACTAAAGTTTCAGATCAAGAATGAAATCTCTACGATACTTTACAACAACGTGATTGTAATTAGAATTCATTTACAAGGATGAACTATGAGGATCAAAATCAGTCAATGTAATAAAAATAACTAATTTAAATTAACTTCTATAATTAAAATTAAAATTAAAAAAAAAATTCATCTATTCATTTTTTAAAATATAATTTCTGTGATAAAATTCATCAATCGATTTCTTAAGAAACAAATGTTTTCCTTGACCTCTGTGGCTTGTCGTACGCTTTCTTTTCTTTTTTGGATATTCAGGTTTAAAAAAAAATAATAAAAAAATCAAAGGGACATTGCATCGCTCAGAAATGTCCAAGTAAAGGAACTAGTGGCCTCTCTCATAAATCATCACCAGAGTTGACAGCTCGCCACTTTTCGACTGATGGTCGACAACGCGAAATAGTATCGATGTTTTTATCTAAATGAACGTCGATATGGTTTCATGGTTACTGACATTTTCAGGGGGTTTAGACTTTTATAAACCCCCTATTGTAGGAAAAAGGGAGTAACATTCTATATACCTCCCTTTCTGATGATATCTTTTCCTTTAACAACTTTCAGCTTTAATAAAAAGGAATGTTTTGACGCATCGAAACATTCTCTTTTATTAAACCTGAAATTGAAACCATTCACTCTTTCTTCTTACAGGTTTCATATGTTATTTATTATTTTACTTTGGGTTTTCTTAGTAATTTTATATAATTATTTACAGATATTTCACTTGATAATTAATACAAGAGCGATGTTTTTGCTTTTTTTTATTTTTTTTAAAACCGTTAAAATAATTTATTGTATGATATTAATTATACAGAGGTAAAAGGAAAAAAAATTATTTTTCCAACTCACAAAAGAATATTCTAATTAAAATATCGAATTATCTTACTTGCTTTAATTGTACAGCTTCTTATATTTAACATATTTATCTTTTGAAGTATTATTTTCCTTCAAAATATTGTTAATGAGAAAATTGAATAGATTAATATTATATTTGTAATTAAAAATAATTACAGCGTTTTAAATTTTTTTTTTCACTAGAAAATTATCGTTTTATAAAACATAAAAATATATAATTTTATCATTTTTATACTCTTAGAAGTGATTAATGTAGAAGATGTTAAAACTGTATTCACGCTTTAAAAATATCATTACACACGAATTAATTTAAGGAATAAGAATATTGAACTGTATAATCTTCGAAAGATTTGTAAAAAGGAAAAATAATTGGAAAAGGGGTACAAGTAATTGAAGTTAATAGGGAAATTTCTTGAAATCTATACTCTTATTTCTGAAAATTAACACTTAAAAATTGTATACAATTACTTATTTCTTTTATAAATTTCCCTGAAAAAAAGGGGTAAGGTTTTATGGAGGGTTTGATAATAAGAGATACATTTAATAATTAACGAAATATAAATTATTATTAGAAAAAGTAATAATAATAAAAATTTTAAAATTACTTAAGGAGATAAATTATAAATTTTAGAAAAATTTTTGTTAACAAAAGATTAATGGAAAAGTAATGTCGGACCCTTTCATTTCGATTTGTTATTGATCGTCTTGCAGCTATCACTGTGCTAATGAAGAAAGAGTAGGTAGGAAAGACTCCTCGTTAATTTGTCATTGAACAATGAAATTGTTTCAGTATCTACAGAAATGTGTTGACTTTTTTCATTCATTTATATTTTTTCTCTCCTTCATTTTTCACAAAACTCGTTATTATTCTTTTGTCATATTTTTCTTTATATATATATTTTTTTATATTTTTAAATGATCATTATCATCACAATAACAGTATTTTTATACGTTTTTTTTTTTTACTCGTGTAATATGTGTCATCCTGATAGATAATATCGTAATTTCATGACCTTACCTATAATGATCAGTTTAATATGATCCATGATATCGTAATGAAATTATATTTTAAGACATTCTCGTTTATCAAGAAGACATAAAAAGACATAAAACTATAAAAGATCATAAAATATTTGATGGGCCGTAAGAGAAATTAGTAAAGATGTTAAAAATCATATAAATACATATCTTAAATAATTAAAAAAAACTATATATATATATATATTATTTTTTAAACCTTATTAATACATTAACTTATATATTTATTAAAAATAATTAAATTTTTTTAAAAGATATTAAAATTTTAAGAAAATTTATTAAAAGTTTTCTTAAATATATAACTGAAAATGTTGTTATAAAAGTTTTGTGTGTTAAACTATAACATAATTCTTTTAAGAAATATAACGTTAATTAAAAAGGTATAGTAAAGCATAAAAATTAATTTTATTTATAATGTTTTCAATAGTCTTGTACATCTTTTATAGTAATTATAACCGGTTTAAACTCTAATAATACTTAAAATACTTTCGCTTTAAAATGTGATTATATTTTACAGCAACTTGAAGTAAAAATTTATGTGAACAGCATACACTTACCTACAACATTTAATGTGATGAATATGCTCATTTTCGGTACTGTACTGACTTGACACTCATAAATTCCAGCATCCTGCTTCTGAGGATATTTAATTTGGAGTGTCCAATCATCTGAATTTTCTAAATGTATAGTTTGAAATCTCTGATCGCTCGTATATGTGAACCTTCCTACTGTTAAAACATGTAAATCTCTTCTTCTGATCCACGATACCTGAATTTAAAAAAAAAAGAAAGAAAAATAGTAATGTATATAATATAATAATAAATAATACATTAAGTAAAAATAATGTTTTCCCTATGAATGATTGAAACAAAAATAAATTCCGGACATTGCTTTTACTGTTTTATCAAAAGTTTAGAGGACGAGAATTGATTGATGAGACCTGTGTCTTTCTACGTTCACTGCAATCTCCATATCTTTTGTTGCAGTCAAGTATACCATCTGCACAATGTATAGGATAAAAATAAAACATGGTTCGTTCTTTTACGTCTAACATAATCCTGTGGATAGAGACAAGGTCTCGACCGTTTGTTCTGTGTTCGTTTTAGTGCAGAACAACTATTTGTAACAGCAACTGGACTGCACTTCTCACTAATCTCGTTAATACAGGACAGGAGAAAATAAGATTTTGGACTTCCGAAACGTAATCACAGAATGAAAAATATTTTCTACATCTAAAGATTTTCCTCTATTTGAAGAGCTTTTATCGTTTCTGAATGGCAGAGAGAAACAATACAGAAGAAACTGGAAGAGGAGAGAGGGAGGGGGGAAAGACAACTATATCATTTATTTCGTACAGTAGCGTAGTGATACTGATACTAAACAAAAACAAATGATTTCTTTAGAATTATAAAACTTAAATTACAAGCTAAAAATTTATAAATTAAAATATTTTTAAAGCGATTAAATTTCATTTTTCTTGTCCAACATAATTAAATCAATTCTCGTTCCAAACAATAGCATTGTCTTACACAATAAAAACTAATAGAAGATATTATTTATCCAATTGTAAAAAATAAAATTTAAATTATTTATCTCGAANTTAAAAAATTTTTCCCCTTCCCATAAAACATGACTTATATTTGATGTAGCCTAAAGGAAAATATCCGACTGTTAGGTGTGTCTTTAATAAAAAAAGTATTTATACTCGAAGTGAATTGTAAAATTGTTCTTTGCAATAAAATTTCAGCTTCATAAACAAAGTTCTACTTCATTGATAAGAAATGACAGAAAATTCAGTTTGTATCTGTGTTTTTCTGTTTGTCGTATTAATGACAACAGACAGGAGACAAGGAATACAAGTCCCCAAGTAAAGAAAGGAGAAAAAGCAAAAAAAAAAAAAAAAAAGGATGAGAAAAAATGGTGAACTACTCTAATTTCAGCTTCCTTTCTCTGCTATATCCAGTTTCGTAGAGGGAAAGAAATATAACAGTTACACAACATAAACTAAAAATTAATGACGCGAACAAGAATTGACATCAATTTATTGGAATTTCATTCTTTCATCTTTAAAAAAAAAACACAGATATGTTGTTTTAATATTCAAGAAAACGAAGCGAAAATCTAAAAGATATACTTAAGACACTTATGGAAATATAGAGGGAAAAAATGTGGAAATATTTTCTATTTTTTTTAATTTTTTTTTTCGCAAAAGTGTAAAGAAGTATAGTGAATAAGGGGGATAAAATCCCAAACTACAACATTATGTAGTCGTTTTGAAGAAATAAGATCGATGTACCCTTGTTATTTGGTGCCAAATGACACCCTACGATATACACAGTGTCCTTAAATATCTCGTTACATAAGGCGGTACTACTAAATCTTTTTGTAAAAAGATATTCCTACTTGCCTAGTTTGGCTGTAGCCGTCAACAACTGTGATAGATTGTAGTAATCAGTCTTCTAAAACGGAGTAACGAAATGTGTTTAAAGTGCTCTTCATGTTATGTTAGAAAAATCTACCAAGGGAACAACAACAATTGTTTCTCTCTTGTCTAAAACTTTGAGGTTTAATACAAATAGATGATGGAACGATTTTGAAATATCTCCTTTTCTGTTAACACGATATTTTTCTATATTATTTTATTTTAAAAATATATGTATATATATTCTTATCCATGGTTATTATAATTTCGAGTGTTTATCAAAAACATTTCGAATTCATGAAAAATATAATTTTTGTTATTTATTTCTTTGAATTTATTTGAATGAATCACGAAAGTTAGTAATATACAAAGCACAGTCAGTTACAAAAGCAAATCATTTTACATATTACTAAACTGTCAAATTTAGTCGAGGAAAACATTAGATTTATGATGTGCACAAACAAGGGATTTATCCTTAATGCAAGCAATCAACATGCTGACGAAGTGTATCGAAGGATGAGAGAATAATTCATCGAAGTGACAATCATGCACGGTCAGCAAAATTGGTATAACATATTTTAACGTATTATTTCCAATATTATAATCTTTCTGGTTGTGTAAGAGGTAAGAGAAAATTTAACATAAAGGATCAGTGAATGAGATTGATGAATTTAATCAAAAGTTATTTTAAAATTATCATAATAAACCTACATATTTATATTTGTAAGATGTATTTAAATATTTATGCCATTAATAATTTTGAAAAAGTCATTTATTCTGTCTCTCTCAGTTAATTATAAATAATTGAATTCTGTTGTTTCATAAGTAGTTCAGGTATTATGAAATATGTAACGAATATTTATTTATGACATATTTATTTTTTATATATATATTTTGTCAATTTATTTCTAATAAATATCATTAATTTTGAATTTATTTATTTATATTTTATTCGAAATTTTTCTATTTAATTACAACTTTTCTTTATGCAATTATACTTAAATTTTTATATTTTAATTTTATTTTTACCTTAAAAACTTGCTATTTTTCGTTTTTTATAGTTTATTTTTTCTTGTTAAGTAATTAAATAATTAAACGAAAATTAAAATATTAGCTTATACATTTCAACAAAATCGAACGATTATTTTTTATCTGAACACATCGTAAAAGGTTAAAAATGAATGATTATTCTTTAAATTAATTTAATTATATAACTTAAATATTAATTAACATAGATATCTATCAATATTTAAATTATAATACTTATATATTTAATGTAATAAAAAAAAATAATAAAAATAAAAGAGAAATTTGGAACGCGATACATTTAACATTCATCACATATGCCTGATAACTAAACATTCCTCATTAATAAATGAATGCATTTAAAAATCGTAATTATGCCACAATGAATACTAGAACAGGATAATTACAAAATCGATAACAGTATAGAATATTCAATAGTCGTGAGTGGTCAGTTAGTTATTAGGGGGGAAAAAAGAAAGAAAGGTGCTATCATGAAAAAGCTCTACCCATTGTATCAGTACGTAATCCTTAAACGATAGATAATCTATGACGTGACGTTGAATGGCAGAAATAAAGACAAAAATAAGTCCAGCCATCAAGATTTTATACGTGGTTGACTGTGCTATCATTTTTCAACTGATATTTATCGATGGTTTGTCCTGTAAACTTGTTCGGGAAAACCAGGAAGCGATAAAGTCTAAGTTTAAACCTCTCTTTTACTCGACTATATACGGCTCTACATTTAAACTTTACTGTCTCTTACATAGATTGTTATCTTCATTGTGGATGTAACGTCCCTCACAAGTGGCTTGCTATCGTTAGTTTAACCTTAATAGCTGTGGTAGTGTTTTAGTTGTCTCTTCTCTTCCGGCCAGATTAGATTCTGATATAGGAATTAATATATCCGCATCATTTTAATATTCTCTGTATGGAAATTATTCTTTACTGATATAAATTATTTTTCTTTTTGTTAGTTCATTTATTTAATAAGTTTCTAAGTTTTTTTAATTATTATTATTATTATTATTATTATTACTACTCAGTTGTAAGCTATGTAAGAAAGATAACGATTCGTTATATAAGAAGCGAATTACAAGTATAAAATAAAAATATTTTGAAAATTTAACAAAGGAATAAACAATAAAAATTTTTTTAATGAATTTTTAAAATTTATATTCGAATATTTATAAAAATTACTTAAATTTCGTCTCTCTGTGTAAACATTTTTATCGTAGATGTAGATATTATATAAATTTTTTCTCGTTTTATTCTTATTTTTTTTTTTGCAATAACTAATGCATTTTTGATATTTCTGCATTAATAATGGACAAAAAATTTCTATAGGCTAAATTTAAAATGATTCTTATCAAAACATCACCTATTATAAACTGTTACGAGTGAGAATCTTCAAAATTATATACAATTTTCGAAAATAAATTTAGCAACATTCAATTTATTAAAACGTATTAAAAAAAATGGAAAGAAATTTAGTTATAAATAT